TAGTCACCCAGACGCAGGGTAGGGCCAATAACGCCTCAAGTTGGCACAGATGGGATGGCAGGGGTCGAGTCAAATATGTAAACAAGAGAGAGACTGGGGTAAGACTTAGGGAAGGAGGACTGTGTAACAATATGGCAGACTCCTATCAACATTCCCAGCACAAGGATGAAAGACGGTAAGAAGGCCAGCGTGGAGTGCGGAGAGTTCCCATGAAAGCCACTAAAAAAGGGCACACCGACCACATTTAATTAGGCAAGTAAAATATTGTGACAGTGAAGGCGTAATTAGAGGATATAGGAAATGTGAATAGGCCAGGGTAGAACGGGAGATGCCATAACTGTTAAGCACTCGCTTGGTCAAAGAATCGGCTTCAATTGTCTCTTTGACGAGTTGTAATATGGTGCTACGAATGGTAAAACTCACTGACGATGCCGGCGAAACGTCTGGGAATGTATCACGTCCGCGGTCCGACTTTGAAAATAATTATGCATACAATGGACTCAGGGCAAGGTGCGTTTCTATAAATCTTCCTACCATTATGACCAAGTTGCGAAAACAAGGTCAAACAACTTCTATACAAAAAAAGTAGAATGCGACCACACAAAAGGCCACACAGTCTTGGTCTTCATATCTTAAACGAAATCTTAGCACAGTTTCATCGGGATCGCAGGACGGTGAGCCCAGGACTTCTTCGAACAATTAGCCAGTCTTCCTTACGCAAGAATCCGCCTTCGGTTTCCGGTGAGACCACATCACCAATTCCTTTCAACCAACTTTCCCTTCGAAATGGAGAATAAAGCCACGATATTACACAGATTTTCTTCTTTGTTTAGTGTTAGTTTGATACTTTAACGAAAAATTAGTTCCAATTATACTGATTTTCATCATTTGAGAGATGAAAGCTCACTCTTTTTTCACTCGAAGCAAGGAAGAATATCTTGTAAACTGCGTCAGACTGGACCTCGTATTTGAACCAAATGGTTGCAGTACAACTAGCATCATCCGTCGTCTCTTGATGTAATTTACCCACGAATCTCTCTATCTTAGGCAGTTTTGATTTGCCCCCGCTTCGCCAATTACCAAAATGTATTGTTAAGCATATTCATCGTCCATTTGGAGGTTAAAATTAGTCTAACTTAGGGATTTTAATTTTAGGAGCAAGCTTTCATTGACTTAAGACCACTGACCAATTCAAATATTATAAACCGAACTTGCATCGCCCTCTCTGTCAATGACAAAATCGAAAATTAGAATGTACTATAACTATTTTAAACTTCTGATTCTCGAAAACTATTTTATTTGATTTTAATCACTCTCGCCTGATACTGGAAGCTATTCAGCTTCATCAAAATAAAACCCTGCTAATTAAGGTTGAAACACCCATTCTAACCTAAGCATCATCATATTGCAAATGGATCTCATTTTTTAAATCTCAAAATATACCCTGTATCTGTAGGCTACTTTGTGCACACTGGTCTCTGAGTTGGCTTCCCGGAGCCACACAGGCCGCCTTTCGCCCCTATTCTGGAGTCCTCTAGGAGAAGTTCTCTTTCAAGAATACCTCGTTAATGTGGCATTTTATCTTCTCACTGAGGAACCCTTTTTACAGCGCTGGGCCGACCGACTCAGCTATTCCGCATTTTCCCAAAATGGTGGAACTGGTTTGAACAATTGCAAAGGATGCAACCTTATCGATGACGGAAGCGATGAAATTGGAAGACAAAAATGGTCTAAGCCAGGGGATGATGCATCCTCTACTTCAGCGACTAACTTATCTGTTAATACTGCTCCTGAGCGAGGCGGGCAAATGGTTTCAGATCTACTTAGTCTTCTTGAGTAAGTATATTATATTGCTTAAGATTGATTGACCAGTAAAATTGCTATATTACTGAGTAATAAAATGATTCCTTTTTCGTACTATTTATCTCTTACCCTCTTTTTCGCTGTATAAATAATTTAGTTGCTCTATAAGTCATAAACATACCAATGTTGCCTACAGCCTGACCTGAATAGCGTTAGTTTTTAGTTATTTACCTGATTCTTGATTCTGCCTAAAATAATTCGTATTTCCTCCATTTTTCAACATTCTTCGACCATTGTCTTCTAACTTGAAGTATGCTTGTTATAATTATCCTCTATTTGCCCCACTTGCAGTCCGGGAGTCAAAAGCAACACTACCCCAGTTATCCGTGAAGTCTATCACCATACATGTTTTCATCAACGCTTTCAAAAGCTGCTATACACATCTAACTCCTTCAAGACTATCTTCCAACCTGCATTCCTATGTAAAGAGCATGAAGATAAATACCATGAGTCCACTTTCTCAGAATCGTCTATGTTACTTCGGCAAAATGGCTGGTTTGCCATATGGCAGAGTCGTTGTACACCTCAGCGTGTTCATGAGAATCTCACGCCTAAATCGCAAACACCATTAGCGGGTAAGTTTAAAAGATTTACCTGCTTGTATCACTTAGCATATCTTAAACTTGTATGATCCATCTGATATACTAGTTATACTATTTCATCGCAGATTAACCATTTATTCTCATTAACTCCAAGCTGACTTCTTACACTTCTCATTCTCCTACTCCATTTAAATTCGTTGGATGAAAAGTCGTCTTATCACCTCCCCCCGGCCCTGCAGAAATGGCTGTCCGTCATCTTCTTACTGCTTGTCAGACTGGTCGCTTCTCTGAAGCCAGAGACCTATTGCTTCAAATGCACAGAGTCACTCAGGGGGCCATGGAACCTGCTGTATGTGTCAACGCAATGGACGAGAATGGCCGATTTGCTCTACTATTGGCGACAGTAAGTATTTTATTAAGGCTATTTTAATCCGACATTATTTATTTTGCCTTAAAATGATATTTACGCAAACTTTCCCTTGAAATTACACAAGCATTGCATCATCTATATGAGTAGGGTTCACCCTATTTTGTTTAAATTGATGTTGGACTGGTAGTTGAACTTCCTCACAACGATATGAGTAGAGCAGGAGTCGGACCATGCCAGTGCAGCGTGTAAGCTCGACACGTTAATCACTACGCCACATTTCCACGAGTG